ATATATTGTCATTTAATGCATATTGAATCATATAATTATATGTGATAGAGGCTTTCCTTTATGTTAGTGAAATAATAAAGAGTTATTAAGTACTAATTGGATGAAGGCCATGGAACATAAAAGCCTTGTAGGAGAATTGTAAAGTTGTTACAATTATGAGATCACTATATATCAAAGCCATGTTCCTAAAATTGTTTCTAGTTATTATATTGTCAATATAGGGCATTAACAATACTCCAAGATTAGTACATGTTAAGCTTCCTTACTTAGAAAGTAAGTAATCAATCTCATACATTGAAGTATATACGATACTTAAGGATAACATGTAGGTGCTTGTTAAAGAATAAGTTCACTGAACATGACCCGCTGTGAGAACCCATTTGGTATTTCACTCAAGATTCTATGAAAAATATTCTCATGTGATAGTCATGCAACTAGTCCTCAGACTTGAGACACTAGGTACCTTGTATAAGGAATGACATACTTTGATTTCATCCCTACGGGTTTGGAAGCAACCAGATGCCTAAATAGGGTGTTTTTGGATATGTAATGAAGCATGCAAAGGTGAATAAGTGGTCCAAAGAGGATTCATCACCTCAAGTGATATGAGGGGATGTATCTTACTTATTCTCAATTTTTGATTAACTTGTACAAAATCTTTAGCCAAAGCATGGTGAATTTGAGAAAAGTTAGTTTCCTAAATTCATAAGGTTAGTCATGAATTATGAGAAGTAATATGGAATGTTATAAGTAGACACTAAGGCATGCTTAATGATATCTATGAGATATTTAATGAAAAAATCATATTACATTGAGAAGCTTATCACTAAAGGGCTTTGTCAAATTCTTTAATTGACTCTCTAATATTTGGGTGGTCATGATGTATTGCTAGGTGCCGCTCATAGTCTATAAATATAAATTAATTATCAAATTGATATTTAATTAGGAGTTATATTTATTGCCACCATGTTAGAAGCCTAATAGGTCATACACATTAAGTGACATGATTAGGATTAAACAATGATAATTAATTAAGTTGGACTTAATTGAAATAGACCAAATTAAAGTGAAAAATTAATTAAGTTTACAAAGACTTAATTAAATTAAAATACAACTGTTGTGTTTAGAGTTACAACTTAGTTTGACTATATAAATATGTTATGTTAGCAAACTAAAACGCTAAGCCCTCAACTACTTCCCAACCGTTTCATAAAGTAAGAAAAGAAAATGGTTTTCTTTGTCTACAAAAATAAGATTTGGCAAGAATCTTTGGTCTTTTGTTTTAAAAATAAAACTTGCTAGCACAATTAAAATCCTAACTTTTCGGTCACTGTGTGGATTATTGTCAAAGGCCAAACACTTGGGTAGTTAAAGATTTGATGAATCCTAAAGGTGAAGAAGCAAAGATTTTGATTTAATTGGCTTTTGATTATGATATCTAAAGTAAGTTATGTAACTCTTAAACTTATGAGTGTTCATAATTAATTTGAAAGTTTTATGAACACAAACATTGATCTTGTAAGATTCGACTGTTTCTCTGATTGAATATTAGTTTATTTGTCAGCTACATTATATTATGTTAATTTATTGATTATTTTCATATTTGAGTATGAGATCAAATCTCAACAGATACACTCATGCATTTCTCCAAATTTGTGGAAGTGTGTGATGCTAATTTTGTTGAGGTCTTGGCTATTAAAGAAGCGTTCATTTTGTTTACCAATTTCTAAGGCAATTTAATTTGAATTTAGGGGTTGAGAGTGATTCAATGAATGTAGTGATATGGGTAAAGAACCCTGCAAAGATGCCTTGGAGACATAGACAATGCATGGTACAAATTGGCTGTTTACAGAAGCCTATTAATCTTTGGAGGGTGACTTATGTACGGCGAGAGGCTAATGGAAATATTGATTTTTTGGCAAACGACGGTGTTAGAGGGCAGCAGGAATTGGTATAGGTGTTTGGACTTAACAAGGAACGTTGAAAGTGCTTGAGGATCTAGAATGAGTTTATGCCTTTTTTTATACAAGTAAGGCATAACTGCTTCGTGATTGGAATGATACTCACTGCCCACTGTATGGGAGGATGAAATTCATATATGCTTAGCTGATTGATGAACTGTAGCCTCTAATTGCCGCATGGTGAATTAATGTGGCCTTCATCCTTGCTAAGAATATTGGATAAGCTACAGCTGTAAGGATATTAATTCATTAATATGATTCATGATTGGATGCTTCATGATTTTTGGGACTTTTATGCTTTGATTTATTCATTAAAAAGCGAGGTTGGTTGAAGGTTAATACAAGCTATATGGTTTTGTACTTGGCCAGTTTAGCTATGTTTCTTTGTTTCTCTTACTTCTAATTAGGAGGTGATGGGTCGCGTTTTGCTACAAATGATATTGCCGCCTGGTGTGTATATCCTGAGGTTTTTATGAAATCTTGTCATAAAAATGTTGTCTTTCAAGTATAGATATCCCTAATTTTAGACCCTAGCTTGTATGGGAATTTGTCTAGCTTATTTTACTGTTTTGTAACTCAAAGTCGAAAGTGTTATTTAGCTTTGACAAACGGCAATAAAAATTGCATACTCTTAAAATTTTTTTTTAAATTTAAGAATATAAATTTAAATATTTAATTTTTAAAAAATTATGTGTATTTTAACTTAATTGACTTGTCACATAAAATCTCAGACGTTTACAGTAATATTTGACAATGCTTCTTTCACCTTTATCATTTTTTACATTAATTCTTACAAGTTTACATCAAGGTTTTTCAATTGTTGGTTTTCACTTTAAATTTTTTATCCTTGTTATTATTTTTTTAAAATAAAATTTTGAAAATCGTTAAATGCTTTAAGTAGAGGATATAAATTTAAATATTTAATTTTATAAAAAAATTATGTTTATTTAATATAATTGACTTATATGTTAAATATCACACATTTATATGAATATTTTAACAATATTTGTTTTACCTTTATAATTTTTTTATTAATTCTTACAGTTTTACGTCAAGGGTTTTCAACTACTAATTTTCACTATAATTTTTTTTATCCTTACTATCATTCATTTATAAATCGTTAAATACTTTAAACTCAAAAATATAAATTTCAATGTTTAATTTTCATAAAAATTATATTTATTTTGACATAATTGACTTGTCATGTTAATCCTCACATGTTTACGTCAATATTTAAACAATGTTTATTCCACCATTATAATTTTTTACGTTAATTCTTATAGAGTTTTTCAATTGCTATTTTTCACTATAATTATTTTTATCCTTATTATTATTCCTGTATAAATTAAAATCTGTAAATCATTAAATACTTTAAACTAAAAAATATAAAATTAATTATTTGATTTTTTAAACAATTATGTTTATTTGACATAATTAACTTATTATGTTAAATCTCTTAAATATATGTTAATATATTGATAATACTTATCCCATCTTTATAATTTTTTACATTAATTTTTACAGTTTAACGTAAAAGTTTTCAACTACGTCATATTTTAATTTTTCATTTTTATTATTATTAATTTATAAATTAAAATTTATAAACAATTAAATACTTTAAACTCAAAAATATAAAATTAAATATTTAATTTTTTTAAAAAATATGTTTATTTACTATAATTGAGTTGTTACGTTAAATCTTACATGTTTACGTTAATATTTTGAGAATACTTGTTTCACTTTTATAATTTTTTGTATTAATTTTTATAATTTTATTTCAAGTTTGAAGTATTTAACAGTTTATAAATTTTAATTTATAAATGAATAATAATAAGTATAAAAATAATTATAGTGAAAATTAGTTGTTGAACAACTTTGACGTAAATATGTAAGAATTAATATAAAAAATTATAAAGTTGGAAGAAGAATTATCAAAATATTGATGTAAATATGCGAGATTTAACGTAATAAATTATAATAATAAATTTAATTAAATTAAATTAATTTGATATAATGTTAATATTAAAAAAAATATTATTTTTATATTTTTAAATAAAAATAAAATAAAAATTAAATAACATTTAAAATAAATAATTAAAACGTAAAGCTACCGCTATTTTACCGAAAAAAAAAAAGAAAAAGACTTGGGGCATCTATTCTCGAGTGCGTGGGACTCATTCCCACCTTGCCACCTAAAAGTCTACCCAATTTGACCAATTGGATCAAACCTGTGAAGCTCTTAAACAACCCATTGAACGAAAAAAAGGAAAAATATTAATGAAACAAATGCATTACTGGGTTCAGGCTTCTTCTTCTGATTTCTCGGGAACTCTTCCCCAGCCTCGCAGGTAATGCTAAATCTATGTGTTTTTCAATTGATTATATCTTGAAGATTTATCTGACTGATTTTTTCATGGTTTCTCAGCGGTCACACCGCTGTTCCTATTGGAAAGTCCAAGGTTGTCGTGTTTGGTGGCCTTCTCGACAAGAAATTCATTAGTGACATCGCTGTTTATGACATTGGTACTTCGGATGTAATTTTTTTTTCCATTTTTAGTTTTGTTGGGATTGTTCTTTGCTATATGATGAAATGTTCTTCAATTTCGCTTCATGGTCTTTCTGGGTTTTCATTGTTTTACTTAACTGGATTAGAGTCTGACTTTTGATTGAAGCACTGGAAATGCATTTGGTAGCTCATGTTAACGATTTATAGTTTAATTTGTGTGATTTCACGGTTCTTTAACCCTTTTTTTATTTTTTAATTTTATGATTGTGATCAAACCCATGTGCATTCGCCAGAGGAGGCAGATACAATTGATTTCTGGTTTAGCTTTTGGATTGCAAGTAGCTTAACTCCATAGAGTCTGATACAACTGTTCCGTGAATCATGTAGATAGGATCATTTTTTTTTTCTATTCATAAAGCATAAGGTAACTGCCAAAGTGGGTGATTAGGGATTTTGAGAAGAAAATTCAGTGCTTACCTTTGAAAAGGTACAAGTGATAAAGCAGTCGGAGCTAAGGTAAGTTGGGCTGCTTGTTTATGTTTGGCTAGGAAAGGAGGTTTGGGTTTTGGATCAGTTGAGGATTGTAGCATCTATTTTGAAGCGGTGGGACTCTTTTCACTCAAGCTGGGTCTTTGTGGGTGTCTTGGGTAACAAGTCTAGAGTTAATTCAAATCTCATTATGTATAGGCCTTCAATCTGTTGGGGAGATGGTAATATGAGTTGGATTCCTCAAAATTAGTGTTTTTGCTGTGGCTGCTACTCAGGAGTTTTTGAGGCTAAAATTACAATGTGGATTGGTATAAACTTGTCTTTTCTTCCTATTCTATTCCTAAGCATTGTTTCTTTGGTTATTTGGCCAATAGTGATAGGATGGCTACCGTGGAGAGATTGCTTAAATGGGGTTGCAATGTTAATTGCCTTTGTTTTTTCTACTATTTAGTTTGTAAGAGCGGGGACTATCTCTTTGGAAATGGAGTCTAACATTTATGGAAAAAGATTTTCAACCTCTGTAATGTTGATGGGGCAAATGGTGATTTTGGAGTTTGAACTTAGATGAATGCTTACTCATGCCGGATGAGATCTTTGATAGATCTATTGTTCAAATCAACTTGGAATGTATTATTTAACATGCCTGGACTGAGAGGAACAAGAGAAATATGCTGGCACAGCAAATACAGAGGATGTTTGAAAGACACTCTCCATACCGTTAGACGTAAAGTGAGTTTGTCAAACACAGCAAGTCTATGGATATTTGTGAGATTTGTAATAATTGGGGTTTTTGCTTTGATATTCTTAGCACTTTTTAAGAGTGATTATTGTATTGTTTTGATAGTTTTTCAGTCTTGTTCATTATGCTGCTTTTGATGAAATAATAAGTAAAACTTGTACATGCTATCACTTCTGTAGATCTTAAACAGTTGCGTTCGAAATCTGACTTCTACCCCACTTTTTCTCCCCTTTATTGGTTTAGAGAACAAAATATGGTTTCAACCAGAGTGTACTGGAAATGGGTCAGATGGACAAGTTGGTCCCAGCCCACGAGCATTTCACGTTGCTGTTGCAATTGATTGTCATATGTTCATCTTTGGTGGGCGTTCTGGTAGCAGAAGGTATTTAAGCATCAAATGTCTGGTACAGTCAATTGTTTTATTACTCAAGTAATTTTAGTTACACACTATTGATTATGACGTTGATATCCAGGTTAGGTGACTTTTGGGTCCTAGACACCGGTAAAATTCTGTTTTAGTTATCTTGTGATGTAAGCTTCTATAATGTGCTTTTTACTTGTTGGAATAACTGAATTTATATTTGTTCTAGATATATGGCAATGGTCAGAGTTAACAAGTTTTGGTGACTTGCCTTCACCACGGGATTTCTCTGCTGCTTCAGCTATTGGAAATCAGAAAATTGTTATGTGAGTATGGTAGCTTAGATTCTCAATCACACAGAAGGTTTTGTGTACAATATATTTTTCAAGCAGGAGTGAATTGGGTGCAGGTATGGTGGTTGGGATGGTAAAAAGTGGTTGTCAGATGTATATGTCTTGGACACAAGTAACTTCTTTGCTCTGAGCTTTTATTTGTTTCTCCTCCATTAAGTTTCTAAGTAATATTTAGAAAGATGACACTGTAAGTAACAAGAGGATGTCATTGAACAGTATCACTAGAGTGGATGGAGCTGTCAGTTACTGGATCACTACCACCACCTCGATGTGGCCACACAGCTACTATGGTTGAGAAGCGGTTGCTCGTCTACGGTGGTAGAGGTGAAGTATTGTGCATATTTGGATTTCCATCCTTCTACAGTCCTTAGTCTTTTGACCATGATGCCACTTGCTAGAGGTTACCATTATTTATTTAATTATAATGGGAAATTTATTGTATATGTCAGCAGCAAGAGGCATTGCATGTCTTCTTAATTATATATAATCTTTGATACTGCTACTGCTCTAGTAGGAGCCTGCTTGTTTCTACGAACTGAAATTTTAGCATATATGAAGTATAAAAAACTGCTGCATATATTGCTGGTGTAGTCAGTGCTGGCCATCAAATTGCCACGAACCTCCTCCATCTGAACTTGGGCTTGTTATGTACAAGCTCTCAGTCATAAGCGGAGTTATAAACATGCAAAAAACACTCATTAGTTGCGTGTTCATTGTCTTAATTTTGTTCTAGTTTATTGCAGTATCTCACTGTTCATATTCCTATGCTACATGGTTGTCAACCCCAAACCTTAAATATCATGTTATAATTATGAGTTATAGTGCATATTTTGTCACATCATTTGATGTTGTTTATTCAATTTGACCATGACATTTGGTGCTTACTAAATTGAAATGATTTTAATGCTAAATGCAAATGAAACAAATTTAATTCTCCCTTTAGAACCTTTCAATTGAAAGATTTCCGATGTTGGTTTCTGGTGTGTAATGAGTCTGCTTCTCCTTTGTGTGCTTGGACAGCTTGAATAAGAAGTCCCAAATCTTAGTCAGAGGGTTAATAGCTTTGGCTTTGATGTAAGAGCACAAGGATTTGTATGTTTGAAATTTAAATGTTAATAGTTTTCATTAATTCCAATTAAGCTAATATGTTTGGATGGTAAATCATTTGCATGCATAGTGCTTATATGGTGAATCTTGTCAATCTTAAAATTCTAATTTAGTTAGTATTTAAGTGCTTATTTTGTTGATAATTGTAGAGTTCCATAACTGGTTCTTGTTTAGTACACGCAAAATGCTTTTCTTCCATTTAAGTAAGCTGACATGAGCACCTTCTAACCTTTGACAGGTGGTGGTGGGCCAATCATGAGTGACTTATGGGCTTTGAAGGGTCTTATTGAAGAAGGTTTGTATTTGGAATAAATATTTGTGGTTTTATATTGCCTTATTGAACTACTAAGTTGATTTATGTTTTGCCTTTGTTGTGGAAGGAAGAGAATGAAACACCTGGATGGACCCAATTGAAGCTTCCAGGTCAAGCACCTTCTCCCCGTTGTGGGCATACTGTCACATCTGGAGGGCACTACGTAATGTCATTTCTAAACCCCTCACTGATCTAGTTGTATATCTTAACACTGCAAAATTAAAAATGCTGAAGATGCAAACTAGCTTCCTCATAAGATTTATTTGTGGTGTTGCCTAACTGTTGGATTATGTCTTTATGCAGGAAAAACATTGTTAATTTTATACCCCTCTGTTAATCTTATATGGTTAAACATATGAGAAATTTTTTCTGTAATTTATGACAAAGTATGTGAATAAATATTACTGCTTTTGCAGTTTATTATTGCATGATGAGCATCAACAGCATATATCTATGTTAACATTTATCTCAGGCATCATCATTTAAATTATTCCTTAATTTTGACCTAGGGAAATCTTTTTGAAAGGTAGCTGGATCTTTACTTTATAACTGGTTAGATGATATCCTAGGGTGAAGCTGGGATTCTTGTCTAGAGGGGGTCAGAACAAAACTAAGATGTCAGAGTGAAAATAATAGATTGAACTCTTTGATGAAAATATAAATAATGAATATTAGATTCAAATGAAATAGTATGTAATTGCATAAAAAGTATAAATTTATTTTATTAAGTAGACAATAAACAAATTTCAAACAGCATAATCCATATTGGTACATATAAGATTGAATAAACAGTAAATCTTGCTAATAATTCTTCTTGAAAATAGAACAGAAGTTAAACTTTGAAAAGATTAAATGGATGATAGAAAACAAAAAACGAAATTAGGAGTAAAATTATATGCACAGTTGATTTTGTGTGCAAAATATAGCAGCTAAATTTCTTTAATTACAATAGAAACACATTGCTAGTCTCAATAATTAATGTGAAAATGCTTGTTTAATTGATTGAAAGGTTAATTTTAATATAAGGTTAAAATCAACTTTAATAAGTAACATTAAAAAGAGTCAAAAAAATGATAGATAACTTGGCCTAGAACTAAAAGTTTTAGTATATTATAAATTTTACCATATTAATTTCAAAGTTTTGTGGATGGAGGCCAAGTTATAAT